TCCTCCTCCTCCTCACCTCCTCCTCCTCCTCTTACTCTTCCTCCTCCTCCTCCTCCTCCTCCTCCTCCTCCTCTTCCTCCTCCTCCTCCTCCTCCTCTTCCTCCCTTCCCTCTTCCCATCCCTCATCTCCCCTCCCCTCCTCGTCCTCTTCCTCCCCCGAGATGCGGGGCGCGCGCGGGGCGATTGCGAAGTTCCTCGGAAAAAGGTGGCGGCGATATTTTCTCAGGCGGGGGGCGTGGGCGAGGGAATATCGGGCGCCGCGTGCCAAATACAAAACCCATGACGGGGTGTGGTCTCCAGCAGGATGCTCGCGACACGCGGAAGCGCGGCGCATGATGGTAAAATTATTGTCGTCATTGTCGTTGCCGCCGCAGCTGCAGATCTGCTGTTGTTGTTTGTTGTTGTCGTTGTTGTCGTTGATGTTATTGCTGACGTTGTCGTCGTCGCGAGTGGTGGTGTTGTTGTTGGCGTTGTTGTTGGTGGTGATGTTGTTGGCGGTGGCGTCGTCATTGATGCAGTTGTCGTCGCTGGCGTCGTTGGTGTTGATGATGTTGATGTCGCTGCGGTTATGTAGTTACTGTTGTCGTCGTGGATGTTGTTGTTTGTTTTGATGTTGATGTGGTTGCTGTCGATGTGGAGGTTGATGTTGTTGTTGCTGTTGTTGGTTTGGTGGTCGTGTTTGTGTGTTTTGTCGATGTTGCGGCGGATGGTGTTGTTAGTGTTGTTGTTACGTTTGTTTTTGGTTGTTCGCGGGAACCCACGTCCCAACCCCAATTGTTGTTCATATATAGTTTTTTTGGGAGGGGGGGAATGGAAGGTGCAGCTGGTAGTTCGAAAGGTATGGAATGGAGGCGCCCCGGGGCCGGGTGGGACGTTGGCGCACAGGGAGAGCAAGCGATTCACGCATCTGGGGAATTCGTGGCGGTTTTCGCGGATTCTGATACAGCCGGGGCTCCTGAACAGGCACCCCAGGACCAGGTGAAGCGTGGGCGCGCGGGGGCGCGCGGGCGACAAACAAATCTTGAGGAACCCGAAGAACCTCGGAGAATCCACAGGGAATCTTCGGGGAGTCTTAGGGCAGCCCACAGGGATTCTTCAAGAGTCCTTCAGAGTCTTCAGGGATTCTGAGGGTTCCCCAAGGTTCCTTAGGAGTCCAGAGGTGTTTTTTGGGAACCCTCAGGAGTCGTGAGGAGCCATCAGGGGCCCTTCAAGAGTCCAGAGGAATCCTCAGGGACTCTTCAGGACCCCGCAGAAGTTCTCAGGAGACCTGAGAAAGTTTCCGAGATTCCCCAGGACCCACACGGGTTCCTCAGGGATTTTTCTGGAGTCCTGAGGAGTCCCCCCGATCCCCCCGATCCTTTAGGACTGGCCACAAGTTCTCCAGGAGTTCCCCCCGGGAGTCCTAAGGAACCCCCAAGGACTCCTCAGGACTCTTGTGGAGCCCCCAGGGATTCCCAAGGGATTCCCAAGGATTTTCGGGTATCCAGGAGGATCCTTGAGGAGCCCTGATGGGGTTCAGTGGAATCCTCGAGGGCTCCGCAGGGATCCCGCACGCTCTTTTAGGATCCCCAAGGAGTCCTGTGGGATCCAATCCGGGATTCCTCAGGGATTCCCCAGGCGGTTCTCAGGAAACCGACGGATTCCCGAGGAATCCCGAAGAATCGTGAGGACATCTCACGGACGCGTAAGAATTCGTCAGGAGACGTCTCAGGATGCCCCTGGAAGTCTTCAGGAAGCTGCAGTGGTTCCAAAGAAAGCATAAAGACTCTTTCGGACCCCTAGGGTTCCGAAGAAATCGTAGGGATCAATGAAATTTCCTGGGAGTCCTAAGGATTCCCTGGGCTTCTTCAAGATTCCCACCGATCCTGAAAGATTCCTGAGCTATTGTGCGGGTTCCTTGCGCTTCCGAATTATCCATGAGAGTGCATGATGAGTCCCCAGGTTGCCAGAGGACTCCTATGGATGACTGGTGGTTCCTGGGGTTCATAAGGATCCCCGAGACTTTCACTAACCTCCGACGTATTCCTAAGGACCCCATCGCGACCCCGAAGCATGTCGCAGGATCCCTGAAGACTACTGCGGGACCCTGCGGATCCTTGCGGGCCCCGACACATTCTGAATTACCCTTAGGGGTCCCCATTGATTGCGAAGGATTCCTGAAGCTTCCTCTGGTATTTTAAACAGGAGTCATCAGGATTCGTTATTGGTTCCGACGGACGACAGATTTCGACGCATCCCACAAAGTTTCGACGGATCCTCAGGTCCTCGAAGGACCCCTGGGCATTCCTGACGATTTCCTGAGGAGCCTTGAGGCTTCCTGCTGCTTCTTGACATTTCCGAAGGGCTCGTGAGGCTCTTCCGAGGGTTTGAAGGATCCCGCAGGACTCCTCCCCCCCCAGGATTCCCCATGGTGTCTTCGGATTCCGAAGGATGATCGAGGTTTCCGCAGGCCGCGTCCTCCTCCTCTTTCTCCTCCTCCTCGTCCTCTTCCCGCCCCCAGGGAAGCATGAGCCCTTCGCGGCCAATCCACCCCCTGGCGAACCAGCAGTCTTTCGGCAGCGTCGCCACTCAGGCCCGGCGGGGGGGCGGGGCGGAGGGAGAGGTGTAGGGGAGGGGTGGAGACTAGGGCAGTTTCGTGTCGTGTCGATGCGGCTGCGACCTGGGCGCGGGCGTTCAGGATCCATTGCCGCCAGTGGTCCAGAGTCGGCAAATCTGGAGCGACCTGGCGATCGACAAGCCAACCGCCGTTCCAGGTTGAACGATCCACGCGGTTCGGAGCAGCGAAGACTGGATCGGGGGCATGGTTATGGGCGATAGGCTCAGGGGGTATTGCATCAGCCCCCAATCGCCCACTGATCGGCGATAGGGGTCCGATAGCCCGCCCCGCCCAGGAAGCCGTGTACTCGCTATCGAGGGGCATATCGCCGATCGATCGGCGACGTATCGTCGAGTCCAGGTCGATGTGTCCCCCCTATGAGCCGGTTCCGCCCTACCCGTCGGTCGTTGAAGGTATGCATGTTGGGATGCCCATAGTTCAATCTCTTTTAGGCGCGTTTCTACTTCAAGAGTCTAGCGGTTGTCCCTCTTCCCTCCTTTTCAGGGAGCGGGCGGAAACCCAATCTACTTCCAACGCCTTCCTTCTTACTTCATGCTTCTACCCACTTCTTCCGACCGACGGATAATCGGTAACCCTTTTTCCAACATTCGGAGGAGGTTGAACGCAGAGGGTCCCCGCTGTAGAACCCTCTAGGAAGAGGCGGGGGAGGACTAGGTGGAGATATCAAATGGCCTTCGGTCCATCCTGCCACCGTGCCTGGTTTGTGTGTCAGAGTCCTCAGGGATGCTTCTTGGGGTTTCTTCGGAACGCTCTCGGGGGCCTCTTGGGGGCAGTTTGGGAGCCTCTTCGGTGCCTCTCGTTGGGGCCTCTTGGGGGCGTCTTGGAGCCTCTTGGTGGCCTCTTGGAGCTTCTTGGGGGCCTCTTGGGGCCTCCTGGGGGCCCCTCGGGGCCGAGGGCTCGAAATGTCCGCTCGGCTTCCCCATAGGGGAAGATATTATTGCTGGGGCCATGAAATCTCCCAGATTTCACGGCTCTGCTTTCTTTTCTTGCTGCGATTGTTAGTTATTACAAGTATTAGCTGTCGCACCATTTGTCGCATTATTGTGACAAATCGTCTTATCACTATTATTGGTTTCGCTCACTCCACCGGCCCATAATGAACCACTGTTGCTATGTGTTGGTGTGCCCATCCATGGCGGGCGAGAAGGAGGATCGGGGATTCGATAGACGAGGAGCAGGATGAGGAGGAGGAGGAGGTCTCTAGATGGCTTCTTGGGGAACTGTGGGGACCGAACAGGGTCATGGAAAAGACGCCTCTCTGGAAGGCTTCTTGCGGCATCTTGGGAGGCCTCTTGGTGGCATTTTTGGGACCTCCTGGGGCCTATTGGGGCCCCGTGGAGCTTCCTTTTGGGCTTCCGGGGGCCTCTTGAAGGCTTTTGGGGGGCCTGCTGGCGGTCTCGGGGGTCAACTTTCGTAGAAGGCTCGATATGTTTGTTCGGGTTGCCCCTCTTGGGGCCCTCATGAGAGCTCTCTGGGGAGGGCTCTTGGGCCGTCTTGGGGCTCTCTTGGGCCGTCTTGGGCCCGTCCTGCGAGCCTCTTGGGCCGACTTGTGGTGTTCTTGGAAGCCTCTTGGGCCGTCCTGGGCGGTCAGAAGTTCAGGCGGTAACGCCAAATTCCTTTTTTCAAAAACTCCAGCAAATGATCCAGGGATGTGCCCAACCCTTTTAAGCATGTGGCAAGATTTCATCGGATCGCTCAACACAAAAAGCAATCAATGAATGATTCGCAATGCCCATGAACGCTTCGCCAAAGAACGTCGGGCCAGAGTCAGATGTTTCACATATGCGGCGTCACTCTTAAGAGTCAGGTCGTTGGCAGGAGAGCGACCACGAGGGGGCCTGGAAACCTGTGGAGGAGGGACGATTGAAGATGTAATTCGTGGGAGTAGCAGCGCCTTGCGCTGTGTTCGCGTTGCAGGGCAGCGCTCTGCGCGCCATGACAGTACAGCGCCTGGCGCTAAACGTAGCACGTGCCCGCATGCATCATGGTCGGGGGGGGGGGTCGTTTAGCGTGTACGGTCGGCCCGCTGGGCCCGGCGAGAGAAATCACGCTAACCAAAACGGGTGGGGGCCAGTACGCGCTGAACGCAAACCGTAGCCACATCACGCTAAACGTGCAGGCGGGGTGCCAGTACACGCTAAACGCTTTCGCCAGCGGGGCGTGAGTACCTTTACCCGCCTCTCCACTCCTCCATTAGAGGCAGGAGAAAGCAGGAGGAACGAAAGAGGGGGAGGAGGAGGAGGAGGAGCAGGAGGAGGCGGAGGAGGAGCAGGAAAATGAGGAGAAGGAGGAGGACGAGGAGGGGCAGGAGGGATCAGTCGACACGATGCTCCCGTACGCCTGGAGGAATGCAATTAGGTGCAACTCTTGTCGGATTTGCAGGACCGGCTTCCTCTTCTCCCATTCCTCCCTCTCTCCGGCCTCTGCCATTGTCCCCCTATCCTGCTCCTTCTCCCTCTCTCCACCTTTTCTCCCTCCTACCTTCCCTCCACCCTCCACCCTCCGCCCCTCCCACCCCCCACCGTTTCCCCGTTTCCTTCCTCGCCCGCTTCACCCCCCCTATACGTACGAGCCCGGGGAGGGGGCCATGGGGCTGCCCTTGGCCTCTACAAGCTTTCGTTGGCAATTCCGAGCGTTCCTGGTGCTCTTTCGGGCTGGCCTCTCTGAAAGCCCTCTTGGGCAATCTTGGGCGTTTGGGGGACCATTGTAGCCCGCTTTGGGCAGCAATCGGGGCCATCCTGGGCTTTGTTGGCGGCCTTTGGGGCTTCTTGGAGTTCCCTTGGGCTGTTTGGGGCTTATCAGGAAACCATATTGGGCCCTCATTAGGATGCTCGGGGCCTTCCTGGGCCGTTCTGGGCTGCTCCTGGACCCACCCTGGGCAACTCTGTGAGGCCCGTTTGACGCCACGGGTGCGGCGAGGCCTCGTGGTGATCCCCGCGCATGACGTCACTTCGCTGGCCCTCCCAGAAGCCCCAGTATCTCAGACCGCCGCTCCCCAGGGCGCGGCGAGGTCTCGTGGCGATCCGCGTAAGGCGTCTCTCCGCTGGCCCTCCCAGAAGCCCACAACAGTGTCGACAGTTTAGGACGTACCTCCGCTGGGCCTCCCAGGGGCCCGCGAAAGTGGCGACTGTTTCGCAGGTCGCATCCCCCCAGGAGACGGCGAGGTCTCGTGGTGACCTGCGTAGGACGAACCTCTGCTGGCCCTCCCAGGAGCCCACGAAAGTGTCGACAGCTTCGCAGATCGCAGCCCCCCAGGGGGCGGCGAGGCCTCGTGGTGATCCGCGTTAGACGTCACTCCGCTGGCCCTCCCAGGAGCCTACGAAAGCGGCGACTGTTTCGCAAATCGCAACCGCCGAGGAAGCGTCGAGGTCTCGTGGTGATCTGCGTATGACGTACATTCGCTGGCCCTCTCAGGAGTCCACAAAAGTGGCGACAGCTTCGCAGATCGCAGCCCCCCTGACGGCGAGGTCTCGTGGTGACCTGCGTAGGACGCACCTCCGCTGGCCTTCGCAGAAGCCAGCGAAAGTGGGGAGAGTTTCGCAGATCACAGGCCCCCCAGAGGACGGCGAGGTCTCCTGGCGATATGCCCATGACGTAGCTGCGCTGGGTCTCCCAGGGGCCAACGAAAGTGGCGACAGCGTCGCAGATCGCAGCCCCCTAGGGGACGGCGAGGTCTCGTGGTGACTTGCGTAGGACGGACCTCTGCTGGCCCTCCCAGGAGCCCACGAAAGTAGCGACAGTTTTGCAGATCGCAGGACCCCCAGAGGACGGCGAGGTCTCGTGGTGACCTGCGTATGACGTGCCTCCGTTGGCCCTCCCAGAAAAGCACGAAAGAGGCGACCATTTCGCAAGCCGCAGGCCCCCGAGGAAACGGCGAGGTCGCGTGGTGATCTGCGTATGACGTACTTCCGCTGGCCCTCCCAGGAGCCCACGAACGTGGCGACTGTTTCGCAGATCGCAGCCCCCGAGGAAACGTCGAGGTCTCGTGGTGACTGCGTATGACGTGCCTCCGCTGGCCCTCCCAGAAGCCAGCGAAAGTGGGGAGAGTTTCGCAGATCACAGGCCCCCCAGGGGACGGCGAGGTCTCGTGGTGATCTGCGTATGACGTACTTCCGCTGGCCTACTTTTCGTCTGGGGACCCCCAGGGGCCGCCACGCACGCGCGAGTTCGAAACATTATGACATTCTTACCTGAGATGTGAGCACGCCTCTGGCGGTTGGGCCGGCGAAATTCATCCTTGTTCTTAGGATGGTTCTTGTTACCGTAGTGATGCTTGTATTTGATATGGTATGTGTGAGTCGATGGTCCCCCCTCTTCCTGGCCGTGCTCTTCGGTGCACACGAGAGAAAGAGAGAGAGAGAGAGAGGAGGGAGTAAATGGCGACAGGGAAGGGCACGGGGGGGGGAAGGTGGACGGGGGGGCGGTGGGAGAAGGAGGGGAGGTCTTTTTGCACGTGTCTCGTTTTTTTTGGGGGGGGTCATCCAGGGAGGGCCTCGTCGTCACGGTCGATGCCGCCCCAAGAGTTTGGCCCGAGCGCGCTCTCCGGGACGGGTCCCAGGGTCGACCTCCAGGCAGGGGTGCCAGGGGAGGGAGGCGGGGAGGGAAGAGGAGGCAGGATATGTGACATGAGTGTTTGTTTGACCTCTGGACCATCGTAAACACACATCATGCCTCCTCCCCCCTCCCCCCCCATACCGTAACGGTTCGCTCTCGATGGCTTCCGATTCCGATTCGGTTCGACTTCGAATTCGGACTCCGATTCGGTTCGACTTCGGATTCCGATTCGGTTCGACTTCGGGTCGAGTCTGGGCTCTTCCGCGATGCGGAGGTGGCTCCACCGATCTTGTCCGACCCCCCCCCCGCACACCGAACCGATCTCATCC